GGGGTGCCCACGGATCCGTTCCCTACCCTCTACTGATGAAACATGAAACATATGCAGAATCTCAATTGAAACCCGAGAAAGCTCGTTAAACGAATAAACCTTGGATGCATAAAAAGTACTATACCGTGTCTTAGTATGAAACGTATCATGAAAAAATAACGGCACTTAGTTAAAAAAAACACAGGGAATAACACCTTACCTCTCGGCAATGGGATCCTGCGAAAACAAGGGATATCTGAGCTCGATAATTGAACCGTTTTTCTCTTTCAGCTGACCATGATTCTCCTGGTAATAGTCAATAAGTTCCGACAGTGTTGCAAATGTTTCTCCACCATACAGATCAAGGAAATCACCTGTATTTTGGATCCTGATATGTGTAACGCAATCTTCACGACGCACGGAGAGGGTAAAATTCCCAGGATTATTCTGGCTAGGACGAACGAGGAAGCTGCCAGGCACTCCCCTGTCCATTAAAAGCTTTTCTGCTTGCAAACCGCTAAGATTGTGATGGAACCATCTACGAATTGTGTAAAATTAAACCAATGTACCTTCTGCGCTCGGGGCCCATTTTATCATATGCTCAGTATGATTAATGAGACCTACGTCGGGAATAAGTGATTTCGCAGTTGTCAAAAATTATAATCAGCTGAGTACGCTAAGCAAGCTAATGATCGCGAAGGCAAGACAAATAACGCAGGCAGCTGCAACGTGAAATGTACAGCCTTCTCCCACGTTGATGATAACCCGACAAAATGTCTTATACAAAACAGCCAGATGTTTTAGTGACGCAATTCGGCATTAATTATTCGTCATTTATCTACATTAGTTACTAGACCCGCAAAAAACAGCGCACAACCCGACAATATAAACAGTGCAACCCCAACACCAAGTATTCACTGAGGAACGTGAAAAAGATAAACAAAAATTGAGGGAATATTTTCAGAACTTAGTAAGTGTATTACATAGAGTATAAAGACCGACGCGTTGCGTTTAAGAGCAGTGGCCAAAATATAAATTGCAATTTGTGTTGTGTGTGTCAATTTGTTTCTGGAACAACCCGCAAATGTCCATTCTACATAGAAAAAATACTACAAGCAGTGTAATTTGGATGTGGAAAGACGGTAGTAGGATAGTCCCGGCGACATTACTGAGACTGTCGGAATCAGACAGGCTCAGATTTGCATCGAAAACTGATACGTAGGTAGGTATTAAAATAAGCAAAATAGGTCCAAGTTTCCTAGAAGAATTCACAAAAGGCGGTGTGTCCGCGGACATTCAACTGTAGAAATAAGTTGCAGGCAACTCCCACAGTATATTTATTATGCAGTCGTAATTTAATTAGAGCTAGACGCATGAGTCAAAATGCGTTCGAAGCAGCCAATTGTGTGTACCTGTGGAGAGTGACGCAGAGGTGGCAAAATGCGTGTGAATTAGATAATACTGAGTTTATGCTTGCGCTGCGTCAGTAGTGGCCTTTTTGCAGCCACTTGGAACC